CTAAACCCTCAATCCCAAACCCTTTCAAGCCTACCTCGCATCCTTGAGTAGAAGTGCCCTCAGCCCTATTGCTGAACACGAAGCCTTGCAGAAACTTCCAGTAGTCCTAGGGTTTAGGGGGGTTTAGGTCAGACCTCAGAGAAAGTAATTTAGAAGCCTCAATGAATATAGTCTTGCACTTACTGTCTCATATTATCCTCAAATCTTATGCTAGTTCTTTAGGCTCCTAGACCCTAAACCCTCACAGTATGTGTCTCTCACCTCTTGGCCGGGGGCCGCAGCCGCAACTAGGCAGTGCCGTGCTTCAGCTTGCGGTTCAGGTACTCGACCGTCGCCTGCATCTCATCGTCTTGAAGCTTCCGGTCCCAAACGATGACCTCCATGACACCAAACTCCGAACGCTCGGAAGGCTTGTTGACGACCAAATGGCGGTCACCATCACTGAACGAATGCCCATTGTCGGTGGCAATGTTTTTCTTCGGGTCACTGCCCAAGTAGACCTTACGGCCGTTGCTGCCGCACATCACCAACCAGTCGGTGCTGCCACCATTTCTTGAGCTGTGAGTGTTCCAGTGCTGGTAGTGTGCCACACCAACGTTGTTGGCCCAGTGCCCATGCAGCCAAGTCTTCCCGTCGACCTGGAGAACGCGGTTCTTGTGGCCACCGGCATAGCGGCTCACCGAGCAGATGGTGTAGTCACCTGGGCTTTTTGTAAATAACAGGGTTTCCTTNNCTTAGTTTAAGTTCCTTAACAACCAGTCACTCTTCATGATCTTTCCGAAGTCGAAGTAAGCATTGGTGTCACCGTAGATGAAGGCCACCGGCTTCGCAGCCCCGTTGCCTGCCTCCACCTTCTTTGTCACCGTGCCGTGGGTGGTCTTGCCCTCGGTGTCACCAGCATCGCTGGGCCAAGTTGGGCCAGCATTCTCGCTCTTGAACCAAGCCACCAAACCTTAGCCCAGATTACCCGAGGAAGAAAAGAGGGATCCTTTTTACATGACTATGAGGACTTCCATACCCCCAAAAAAGGTATAAAG